ATGGGCCATTGAATGGGCGACTGCGCCCCTAATCTATTGATATTTTAACCTATAATTCTTAAGCCTTCTTAACACAAGAATAACAGTATATTTTTAGGATTGTATTCACTTTTGTATACATATCAAGCGTTTCATTACTCAATCGCATTGGAAAATGACTTTTTTATGATAATCAAGACTATCGATGAGAATTTCTATCATCATATAACTAATACATTACTCCAATACCCAACAGTTTTCCTTTCAATACATCCCAACTTATAAATTGTCAATTTTCCCAATCAATCATTGAATAAATGTTACTTTTTTAAAATTAATATTTATTATCCTATTATTGCGTACAATTTGTAATTATAAAATTTTTATAATACTTTTTAAGAAATATAATAAAATCTAATATGAAATTCTAAATATCAATCAAAACAATATATTTTTTTATTATTTCAAAAAAAGTTAAGTCATTAAAAACTTTGCTTTAATAGACAAATGATCGGAACCTAAGAAAGCGTTTGGGATGTTTTGGATGTCTTTCATTTCGTTGGCAGTCATGAGTCGCTGTAATTGAATTAGTTTTAGTTTCGTGTAATCATAGAAAATATAGTCAACTAATGCCGACTCGAATTGATGGGACGTTGAGATGAATTTATTACGAGAATTACTTTCTTCTAATCTTATATCTGAGAAAATAGACTTTAATTTGAAATTATGTTTAATTAACATATTCTCAGTGTCCGTGTGTTTAGCACTGCTTTTATTAAATGGGTTCTCGTATCGGGAATCGGATGTAACTCCCGATAAGTCGAGGTGACGATGTTCAAGTGGCTTTCCGGTGCCAAAGCTGTTCCGCTGTCCGGATATGTCACCCATTTTAGAGCCAAAGAGGTTTAGAGCACCGGTAGTAATGAAATTATGGAGAAGTGATTTGGGATCGCTGTTGAAATCACCGCATAATATGATGGGATTGTATTCAAACACATTCTCGTTGGCGGATATGAGCGCCAATTTGTCCAACTCTGCCAACAATAGCCTCGTTTGAGCCAATTTAATATCACCTCTCTTTGGATTATACAAGAGGTGAGTGTTGGCCACAACCAGCTTTGAATTGGTCGACAACTTTGGTCTCAACTCAACAATTAATCCAATGTTGTCTCTGTCCAGAAGGGGTGACATATCTTTTCGCATTAACTCTAATTTAGTTGATTTCAACAGTGAAAACACATCGTCTTTAAAGGCGATGACACAGCCGTCCAGTTTGTTACCGGTTTTCCGTTCGTACACAACATTATAGCCGTGTTTACTGAGTTCGGGAGCTATTAGTTCCTTGAGGTGTTGTGAATGCACTTCTTGTAAACATATTATGTCGGCTTCCGATTCGAGTAATTCCCTCACAATTCGGTGTCCCCTAAGAGGCCACTGGATGTGTGAGGGCTGGCAGTGTTGGTATAGACTCGAGTGGTCTTCCAATAGGTTTTGCGACAGAATATTGTAACTCATTATTGAGAATTCAATACCACTTGTCTTTGACTTATAGCTCTTTGCTGTCATAAACGGCCGATATTTCGATACTTTTTCCCGAATTTCATCTAAATTTTAATAATTGTTAAATTTTAGATCAATAATAAAGTGGACTAAAGGGCACACATGTATACACATGTAAATTTATACTCTTTTAAACGTACATTTTATGCCTTATTTAAATTATCAATTCATTTGCACAACAAATTCAAACCCAGAATATTCTTTAACAAAATTTCCAGAATTATGTTTACCTTCAGTTAAAGTCTGTGTGTGTTTGTAATGTCTTTGGCTATAATTGGGATAACTTTGTGGTCGATATGAAGGGTAAGATTGTCGATGAGAATAGTCATAAAAGGGTTGACCCGGACATCCATTAGAGGACATGTGATAGTAGTTTGGATCATAACTCCTATTAAAAGGATTGTCTTTGAAATAATTGAACGAAACTTCTGAAGCAAAAGCATTGGATCCATTGGATCCGTTGAAGTATCGGTCGCCCACTCGTCGGTCAGCATTAGTTTTGGCCAAACCCTCCTTTTGGGGCACTTTGTCTCCACAATTGGACGACTTCTTCGTGTGTTTGTCATCACTTCTATGCGACTCTTTCTTCTCGTTGAGAGACTCATCAGTGGTTACGGCGGATGTGTTAGCCTTGGGATCAGTCATCGAAATGAAGTGAATTTTATTTAAATTTATAAACAATGTATTCGTTTCGCGAGAAATGCAACTAATTTTATGACAATATCTGCAGATTTGGTGACAATTTCTAATCGTTTCACTAATTGTTTGATTTAATAAACAAAATATCATTACTTTTAGTGTAAAAAACGAAATAAAAGCCTAAAAAGAGGTATAAATTGTGAATTTATTGAATAAAAGTCAATAAAAACACAAACAATTAATTGTCGATTCAATTGACTATACTTTTCATAACGACTTTCAATGCATTTTATAAACTAAACACAAATTGTGTTAAAAATTAAATCACTTTTCATTTGACATTCTTATGAAATCATATGTTTATATCTGCCATACATTACGCCTATATTTATATCAATTGTTTTGCACTCAATATTGACTTCAATTCATTGAATTACACGTAAATGTAAACTAAATTTAACGATACTTTCAAATAAAGTGATAAATTAGTTGTAATTTAATTTTATTTTGCATTAATTTTAACTTAAATTATATATAAATGACATTTATTTGACGTCATTTATTGGATATTAGACTGCAGTGTATTTTATAGACTAAACGCATTGAAAGCAATGTATTTCATGAATAATATATTGTGAATGAGTGTACGATTGGACGGAAACAACAATTGATTCATTCAGTGATTCAGCTCTTATTGAAGTGTTATTTGAATTGAAGTTTCGGTCAATTGATTGTCCATTAATTGAGTGCTCATTACTAACCCGTTATCACCTAAACTGAGTCAACAGCGAGTATGA